GGCCAAGATAGAATACTCTGGTATGAAATGTGTCAGTAGAAGTCCATTTATACAAAATTTAATCCCCTATCTGGTAGTGTTGTGAGACAAGTACTAATGGGAGGTGTTTCAGTCGTGAGGGTGACATGACCATATGCTGAAAGAACTGTGAAATTACTATTATATTGAAGCACAAATATCTGTAAATAGTCCAGTGAAATTAAAAAAAGGACAAACTTTGGCCAGATATTAGTTAAGTCAGGAATTGATTGCTAATAGGTTGCATGGTAGTGCCACATGTCCAGCCACAATTTGGAGTCCTGAATCCAGCAGCTTGAAATCTACAACAGGCATTTGTGCATGCATGTGCACAAATATCAAGAGAAGAATGAAGAAGTGATTGCATTGTGGCCATCTCCTCTAATGAGTGATTTCTCAGTTTTTCTTGCTGTCTCTCTCCTGTGAGCACATGTACACTGTGGCTAAATGAAAAACAAAAACTAGCAAACAGACTAAAAGGATTAGCCCCCTTAACAGTGTTTAAGCAATACAATAATAAAAAGAAAAGTCTGCTTGGCCAGTATTAATTATGCAGTGAGATTCAAGGCTGTTCAGACTGCCTGGACTTTTAAGTCACCTGGAACTTTGTTCACAGCCGTTCTCCATTCTATGAGTACATACTCTTCAGAGTTATAGGCCCAAATACCTAGAGATATGTAATTACTGGGATTGCAAAGGTAATGAGAAATTCAGTGCTAGCCCTGAGTGAATTACTAACCAGGAAGGACTGGCCATGAGCATTTTGGCTGTTGTATCTAGGTCATGTTATGTCTGTGGTAACACAGCTGGCCAGTTCATACAATAACATGGTGAAAGACTATTGGATAGGCAAAGTAACAGCCACCTGAAATAATTTAAAGCATGATGAGCTTGGTATTAAGAACTTTAATATAGTAAGACATTGATACAAATATTTACTTTATTATTGGAAATTCAGAGATATCACTTCCTGACAAAGCATCCCCCCAATTTTTTATTCATTTGTTTCTCCCTACTTCTTCTGTATTTTTCCATGAGCTGACTGAGAGGAAAAGTGACAATAGGTTTGTTGATGTAGCTAGTTCACTTTATGAATGTTGTAAAAGAAATGATTGGTTTTGTAGATTAGGAAGTTCACACAGGAGACAGATATATTTCTGATAATTTTTAAAAACATGTTTTTGTTCCTCTTATTTTTCCTTGCATGTTTGTCCAAACCAGTTATATGGCTCTACTTCTAGACTTATTCTATTTTATTTTATTGATCTATGTTTGTCTTTAGAGAAAACACTACTTGGATTCATTTATATTTTTAAAAATAATTATTCATTCAATTTTATTTATTATCATTATTATTTTTAAAAATTTGACCAGAGCAAGACAGAGAGAGAGAAAAAGGGAAAGTGAGAAGGCAAGCCACCTTGGTAAAACAATCTATATCTGAAGCTTTGAGGTGTGTTGTCAGTAAGCTTATGATATCAACTTGAATGTTCATAATTTCTTTAACTTTTTGATGAAAATTTTGCAATGTCAACCATGGACAAATATGGAAGAATGCTGAGTGAAGCAAACCAAATAATGAAAAAGAAGCATTGTATGTCCCCACTGAATATATAACGAACATCTACACACTATGACAAAAACGGAAATATTGGAAGGTAATAAAGCATGGAAAGAAACTGTGGATACTAATGACAGTGAGGGAGGAGGGTAGGCAGTGAGGGGGTGGAAGAGAGAGAATCAGCAGAAGAAAGTAAAGAAGAAACATTTAACTGACACCAAAGTGTACAATTATGTGTTAGGATGATGAGTGTGGTAATACTGTCAGTTAGACTAATATGCCGGGTATATGTGCCAGGAAGATTCCTTTTGCATGCTGCAAAGATGTACAGTAATAAAATACAAATAAAACAAACAAACAAAAAGTGTAAACTGTCACAGGTTCAACCTTTGTAAAAATAAAAATAAAGTAGTCAACTTAAGGCTGATGTTAAGTGTTATAATTAACCTATTGCTAAACAAAAATTTCTCTTTATAAATGAAATCAGGAATAAATATGGAAAAATTATGAAAAAAGAAAATAATTCATCACAATGAAAGCAAACAAAACTTGGCATTTTACAGCTCTAAATAGCACAATTATTCTGAATCTATTTCATTTACTCCAAATTAGTCCTCTATATGATTAAAAACTTCTTTCTATAAGAATACTATAGGAAAGTAACAAAATGTGACTCTTCAGGTAACAGGAAAAAATTTAAATTTCTAAATTAGGAATATACTGTAAAAAAATTAAACCATAATATATTTTAAAGCACAATAAAGAATATTTAAACCCTTAAAATATATATAGTAAGTGTGTCAATGAAGTTTTGCAGTGAGTTAGTAAAATGAGGCTCAACTTTGAATACAACAAGGACAAATGAGAATTTACAGCCAAGGAGCAAGGGAATTATTGGATAGAAAATTAATAAGAGGTAACATGAGGAGTAATAGAAATTCTGGCAAAATCCTCCTATGTAGATTATATTATATAGAAGCGTGCACATAGGCCCAGACAATGTTTCAGAAACAAAACATTTTTGTCAGTACAGAATATTTGAGTATAATAACAAGCAGATTTTATTTAAAAATAAAACAATTTGGGGAAACTTTAAAACAGCACACATTTAGTAAAAAAGTTAAACAATAAAATCACGTTTTATAAAAATTCACAACAATTAAATTAAGGAAAATAAAACAAGTTGAGTGTTGATTGGATTAAAATATTTAGTTTGATATGATTTGTTGTTTTTGAATGTTTGCATTAAGCTTAAAATTAGAGAAATTAAGAGGTGACCAAATAATTTTTAAATGAAGAAAAAATATTAGAGGCAGGACCAGCAGTTAGCGTAATGGCTATGTCACTGGATTCCCATGTAGTTGACCACAGTCTGGGACCCAGTGGCTTAAAACTCACGCCGGGCACGTGTGCGTGCATGCCCAAGATCCCAAGAGGAGAATGGAGGAGAAGGGTTTGCGGCATGGCCATCCCCCCGGGGGGATGATTTCTCTCTTTCTGTCTCTGTCTCTCTCAGCCCGTCTGGTGAGTGCACACACCCTATAGCAAATAAAAAACCTCTCCAAAAAAAGAAAAAATATTAGAGGCAATAAAGAGGAGTAATTAAGAAATAAGAAAGTGAGTTAATTCTAAAACCCTATATTTTAGCTAATATTCTATTGCAACTAATTTTTAGTTGTAAAATAATACACTAGAAACTAGAATTAACTGCAGAGGAAAATATTTTTTAATTGAGTATAAACTCTTTTTCAAGAGACTTTTGCTATTAGATGCATGTGCTTGCCAGAGAGACAGAAAGTGAGAAATCATGTTAAGCATTCTAAGAGCAGAGATAGCTTCTTAAAATGTGTGAAGGAAAATGGTTAGAAAAAGAAAGCCAAAATAAAAGGTATCTGGGTTCCCAGCCTGCTCTACCCAGAGAAACATACTTTGTGAGAACCAGTGAAAAGGAGCCTGAGCTTCTGGAATCTATTCCCTATGAATTCATGGCATGATGGGTATTAAAAATAAACTATATATGGTCTATATAAAAAAGAAATTAATAAATCACACCTTCCCCTCTGGGAGGATGACCACACCACAGTCCCTTTTCCTCTAGTCTTCTCTTGTGATTTTGGGCACATGCACACACACCTGGCCTGAGTTTCAAGCCATGGAGTCCAGGATGTGAATCACTGTTGATCATGTGGGAGTCCAGTGATGTAACACTTACACCATCTGCTGGTGCTTATAAGCTTTTTTCACACAATAATAAATAACTAGAACATCTGAATGAAATGTTTATATTTCTAGGAAAATTATTTTTAAAACATTATTAGAGTCGATGTAATACTATAGAAGAAAATTGCAAAAAGCCATCTAAAATGTATGAAGTGCATGTTTTAGAGGATAATTTTGCCAAATGGTTGAAAACTGTAATTTCAGGTGCTTTTTGTTGTTTTTTGATTTTTGATGTAGAATATGTGCGCCTGCCAGAGAGATACTGAGAGACAGAGAGTCAAATTATAAATTACCCTCTAGAGGTGCAGACATACTGATATCCCTTCTCCTCTGTGTTCTCTTTGGGTTTATGGGCATCCATGCACATGTATACCTGATGTGCTTTTCAAGCCACCAAGTTTGGGACTTGAACTAAATTGGTTATGTGGGGCCCAGTGCCTTAATCACCATAACATTTGATGGCCCCTTAGGTGCTATTTAAATGTTGCAGAGCATAGGAAAAATAATTTGTACCATGTTTTTTGGACTTCAGTAGAACCAAAATAACATTTAGGATACACCTAAATTGGAAGTATTTATGATGTGAATGTAAGCCTGGTGAATAGAGCTAATTGCTACATACTGTGCATTATTAATATTGCTAAGGGAATGTGTTTCTAATGTTGTCATCACAGAAAATGTGAAATATTTGAGGTGAAGTGTCCGTAATTTACCATAGTTTAATCACTGCACATTATATTTAAAAATTTTTAAATATGTTGGATTTTATAGACATGCATATCTATATTTTACATATATATAATTTTTATATTTATAAATGTATAAAAATGGTGAATGTGTGTATTCCTTATTTACATCCCTAGAATAAGTCATTTTGCCGTCTTTGCCATATATTACTAATCCTCTCTTAATATCAACTCTGTTGAGGTGACAGCATCATCACACAGCTCAATGAGTCCTTGTTCCACTCACAGTGTCCTCAAAAACCTTTCTTGAATGTTTCAATACAACTTGCTGTAATAGAGGAAAAAAGATTTCATGGTTTTCTAGAGCCCTGGAAACCTTATTCACATCAGCTTCATTTACCAGTGTAGGAAAATCTCTTAATAGCAACCTAAAATTGAAGTTTGTGTCTCTTGGATTGGCTGAGTTTACCTTGGATTGCATGACCATGTTTCCTAATGGTGTCCCTTCTGTTTAGGTATCATTGGAGGAACTACCAGTTTGTACTGACTTTTCTCTTTGCCATTGAGGACATCAACAAGAGCCTCCAGTTGCTCCCCAACATTTCCTTGGGTTATGATTTCTACAATGCCTTTTCCAGTCACCGAAGGACCTTAAAGAGTGTTCTATTTCTGCTCTGTGGAGGAAATCAGACTCTGCCTAACTATAACTGCCAGAGACAGAAAACATCTATTGCTGTCATTACAGGAAACATGCCAACATTTTCAGCTGAAATTGGAACCCTTTTGGAGCTCTACAAAAGCCCACAGGTAAGTGTGTCACCAATTCTGGAGAATTATGTTTTGATCTCTCTTAATGCAGTTTTCTCTTTTCTGAGCAAATAAAACATGGAATCTGGATTTACATTTTTCATGCAAGGTAGAAACACTGCAGAGAATTTCCTGCATCACGATATTATTGATAGTGCAATGATAAAATAGAAAATAAAAGTGGAATCTGTGAGGCTCCACCCATATCCCTGTTCATAGTCAGTGTGTTCAAACTCCACTGTTGAGAATATTGACTGATGACAACTCAAAGATGTGTGTCTCCTAGAAAGTGTAAACAGCATAGGGAAATACCCCATCTTAGGACATTATCAGGGGCATTCAGAGGACAATGACAATTAGTGGTAAAGATACAAAGACCTATGCATCTGGTTTACATTTTGGACTAAGATGAAGGGGCATTCAAGCATTAGAGATTCCCCAAATTAAATATGGTTCAGTTATAGCTGCTGTGGTTTACAAGTTTCTTTGGCCCTTCCTCACATCCATGCAGGAAGAGCTCATGAAAGCACTGCCAGTTACTATCACATAATGATTCCTCACCTCAGAGATTCTTTCCAAGGAAACTAACACAAGCAGCATCTGGGAGACATTATGGTAAACAGACAGCATTAACTTCTGAGAATTATGTTCTGGAAAATACATTATTTATTTTAGAGTTTTTTTGCTATAGGGTCCGTGCACTCGCCAGAAAGACAGAGAGAGACAGAGAGACAGAAAGCGAGAAATTATCCCCCAGAGGGGATGTCCACACCGCAATCCCCTCTCCTCCATTCTCCTCTTGGGATCCTGGACACGCACGCACATGCACCCAGCATGAGTTTAAGTTAATGGATCTGGTACTTGAACCTCAGTAGACTACATGGAAGTCCACTGACATAGCCATTATACCAACTGCTGGTCCCCAAAATACATACTTTAAAAATATTATAGGGAGTAAGTAGTTTCATTTTTATAAATGAAAGATAACATAAATGAAGCTCTAATGATCATTTAAGTCCACAGCACCAAAGATCAGTACAATAAAAAATTAATTTTTTTTGAGTTTACATTTAACCTTGCTAGCTCAGAAAAGGAACCTTTGATTCACATGTTACATGAGGCCAGCATGGCGGAATCACCAACATCTTGTTATACCATTTTTATGAAATTTATGCCTACTTCAGTTCTTAGTATAGATGATAAGGAGGGTACTGAAGCTTACACTTTTTCTTTTATGCTTTGATCAGGGAGTAATACCATTGATCTAGACTAGTCACCTTTGCTAAAAAGAATGGGACTGAAAAACATAAGTTTATGATGCCGAGAATGAGAGGATAGGGTCATAGCCTCAGCATATTTTTCTTCATCCAATATCCAATTCTCTACTTATCAGGTAGATAATTACCTGCCCTCTATTTAAGGGGAATAACCACACGTTCCACTAAGGTCAGAATCAGGCTACTTATTTTCTTATTCAGGTCACATATGGTCTTTTTGATCCTGTTCTAAGTGATAAAGGCCATTTTTCATCAGTTTATCAGTTGGCTCCCAAGGACAGCTCTCTGGCACATGGAATCATCTGGTTGTTGCTGCATTTTGGCTGGAGATGGGTGGCACTCTATGTATCTGATGATATGCAAGGGGAGTTGTTTCTTCAAGATCTCAAGGCGGAGAGTATAAAAAGGGGTATCTGGGTGGCCTTCACAGAAAAGCTCCCTGCCACAACAGGTCTTTATGCACAACGTGATGTCAATTTTATGCCTATGATCAGAACTTCATCTGCAAATATATATATACTATTTGGTGATGAAGGAAGTGTCTTGAGCCTCGTATTGGTAAAAGAATTCTATTTAATTTTAGAAAAAGTGTGGATAATAAGAAATCTCCACTCATCACAATGGGAAGACATTTTTTATGCCAAGTTTGAAAAACTAAACCTTTTCCATGGAAGCCTCTTGTTTTCAAATCAGGAAAGAAAAATCCCTGGCTTCAGACAATTTCTCAAGACAGTCAACCCTTCCCAATACCCAGAAGACTTTTACTTCAGTAGACTTTGGTTTGAGAATTTTAATTGCTTACCTGCTGGATCACTATGCAACAAACTTGGGGACTGCCCAATAAATTCTTCCTTAGAGTTTATGCCATCTGGTATGGACATGATGACTGTGTCTGACTCCAGTTTTTTAATCTATAATGCTGTTTATGTGGTAGCCCAAGCACTTCATAAAATGCTATCACAGAAAATAGAAATGGGATCTCCAGGAGATGCAGATCAGCCTGTGTTAATTCCCTGGCAGGTAAACATCCTTCATGCCAGTGCATGAATTGGGCACCTGATAACATTTAGAGGTATTTTAATAAAACACAGCATTATGGTCATGCAGTTGTCTCAAGTTCAAATGGGTTAGGCAAAATGGTGGTGGGAAATGGTTTATTTTTAAATACTAGATAAAATTATTTGTATAGGGGCCAGCAGGTGGAGTGGTGGTTAAAATGCCTGACTCCCACATGGCTGACCACAGTTCAAGTTCCGGACCTGGTGTCTTGTTTCCTCTCCCTCTTGCAGTCTCTCTCTGGTGAGCACACATACCCTATAGAATATTAAATAATAATAGTAATAATAAATAAAATTAAATGATTTTTTTAAATTTAAAAGTATTTATATAATCATTATTTCTATTCAGAAAATTCTGCTATTGGGGACTTAGACTAAAAATATTGAATTATATCAGAAAAAAATTTTCTAATGAACAATAAACTACCATAAAATATCCAAAAAAAGACACTCATAACAAAATATAAAGGAATAAAACATTGATCAAATCTATATGCATTTTCTAGGAATGTATCAAATGTCAATAAATGTTGATATAATGGCCATATTTGATTTCAACTATTTCATATAGTAATGTATATGCCATGACCCAATCCCTTTATGCAGTACTTATAATGAGAAGAACAAAAATGGGTTCCACATAATAGCCTAAGTTGATTCATTTTTTATGCATAACTATACTTACAATATATGCAAAAGTTATGAGATTTTAGGGACTGTGATTCAATTTTAAAATACTATACCACTTACATACATTTAGAATATCTTACCTGGTTTACAAATAAATTTGTATTTTAAAACAAACCTGTCTACTTCCATAGTAATACATAAAATATCTTTATGCAAAAAGGACAAATACATGAGTCAAATTTGTTGAGTAAAATAAGTAAATGTAGTATATATACAAGTAAAAATAGCATCAGAAAGTTTAGTTTACCATCTCATTTCTATCTGTACTAATAATATAACATTTAATTTGCATTTAGCACTAATTTGAAGTTGACTTTTAGGAAAATAGGTAATTTTGTCAAGATGAAAACCTAGATGTGATTATGGATTGCTTAAATTTCTTCCATTCCAAAAATTAAAGATTTTTTCGATGGAAAAATAACCAACTCTAAAAAATTAATAATTAATAATTAATGCAGTTTATTTCCAAGCAGAATATTAGTGACCCAGGCCTGGAGAGCAGGCATGCATGCCTTTCTTGGGGTGATCACGTACAGGGGTTCCTTTTATTTGATTTTTTGAGATTGACAGACAAAATTAGTGAAGAGATTTCCATTGGTCTGCCCCAAAAAGATGGGACATGTGGAAGCAAGGGCTTGTAGGTTATAGGTGGGTTTCACAATTTCTAGGTTGGTGATTGGAAGGGAAGATCTGTGTCCTGGGAAGAGATTCCTAAAAAGAAATGCTTAATCTACACTTCAAGGAAAGGGAAGTTCTGTGTCTTGGGAAGATTAGCGAAAGAATATACTATAATCGGTTGAATATACATCTCAAAGATACTATGCCAGGGATAGGATGCAGGAAAAGTCCTGTTAAATGGGATAAAATGGTCTGTTAATGTTTGTGGGTGTGACTCCCCCTAGGCCCTCTTGAAAGGACTTTGGAAAAATAGGAAAGCAGTCAGACTTCTTTTCACAATTTAAATACTTATATAAATAATAAATGTTAATTTTTTGCTGTAGAATATCATAAAACCAAAGGTTGAGGCTTATATATTTTAAAAAATATTTTTAGAATTCAATTTTTTAGATTTCAAATATTTTTAAAATACAAATTTTATCATAAATTGTTCCATTCTTATCAAGAAAAGTTCAAAATAAAGATAATGAAAAAGCACATTTGTCCTCTTTTTAAAATTTTTCTTGAGGCATAATTGACATTTTAAAATTTGCACATACTAATGTATGTATTTGAATGAGTTTGGATATATGAGTACATTTAGACTGCCATCACCATGGTTAAGAACTAAACCTATCCATCCACGTGATGCCTTCTTTTGTTCTGGACAGATTTTTGCTACAGGTTACATGTGCTCGCTGGAGGCACAGAGAGAGACAGAAAGCAGGAAATCACTCCCCTGGGGGGATGGCCATTTTGCAATCCCTTCTTCATTCTCCTCTCAGGATATCGGGCATGGACATATATACACCCAGTGTGAGTTTCAAGTCTCTGAGCCTGGGGCCCAAACCCAGTCAACCACGTGGGAGTCCAGCACCTCAACCACTATACCACCTGCTGACCCACATATAATGCCATTTTTAAAGTAGTAAGAGTCTGTATTTTACTAGAGTTCATGCACAAATCACCCTTTGGGAAATATTCTAGATTTTTTTCATAAGATGCAACTTATTCTCCATTCTTTTTGCAAAGAAAAAGAGAGTTCCCTTCATATGCGCCTTGAGATGGTGACACCCAAACAAAACTAAGCTTTTATCAGAAAGTAATCCTAAGGGTAGGGAGGCAGAAATAGACTACATAGTAAGTATGGAGCTCCCATCTCTACATTAAATAAACTCCTAATTTCTAAATTGTATCTCATCCAGCTTCATCCATTTCTGAGGAAAAGCCTTTTAATAAGTAGTCCTGCATACTACATACCACTAGAAGAAAAAAGAAATCATATGGCACAGTATGATATTCAGAACCTTGTAAATTTTCCTAATGACAGTTGGCTGCTGGTTAAAGTAGGAGGTTTTATTCACAGAAATCTGCATGATCAAGGATTGATCATCAATGAAAAGATGATAAAATGGCCTATTCATTTTAAAGAGGTATGGCATCGCAATATTAAATTATACAGAGTTATGTAAACAGAGTACTGAAATGAAACTGTGTGAATACTTTAACTCAGAATAAAATTTGCCTTTTACCTCTTGACTTTGTACTATGTAATTTTATTTTATTTTAAAATTGTATTTATTATTATTATTTGTTTTGCTATAGGGCACACATGCACACCAGAGAGAGACAAACCAAGAAAGAGAGAGGGAAACTGAGAAATGAAACATGGAGTGGAGGGAGGGGAGATGGCCGCACTGCAATTCCTTCTCCTCTTGGGATTTTGGTCATGTATATACACAGCATAATATTCAAGCTGCTGAGTCCAGGATTCAATCTGTAGTCAACCATGTGGGATGAAGCACCTTAACCTTCATGCCACCTGTTAGTCATATACTATGTGATTTTGCTTAAACATTCTGAAGTAGAACTATAAAAACTTGTTTATATGTAGTGGTCTTTTTTAATTTTAGTATATTCAAGCAGCTGTCCAATGAATGACATAAACAAGTGGATAAACATATATTCATAGTTAAACATTGTTTAAAGAGAGGAATAGGTCAGAGAAATGCATCTGTAGACAATTCTGTCATTGTACAAACAACACAGATTGACTTATAGAAACCTAGATGATATTGCCTACTACACACAGAAACTATGTCATCTAGCCTATTACCCTTTGGGACCATTGTCCTATATATGGTTCATCATTGACCAAAATGTTTTATGTCTTTATGTGGCACATTATTCTATATCTCCACCCCCAAATTTCCTCCATAAATCCTAAAACCCTTTATCATTTGTGAAGAAATGTTTTAGATTTTGGTGTACTGTGAATACAAGTAGATTATGGCTTAATGTACCATTCATCTTTTTGAACATGCCATTCAAATTTTCTCTTGTCATTTTGTGTAATATTCAGTCTTCAACCTTCAAGCATCTCAAAATATTAACCATAACCTTGGGTGATTAAATTTAGGCTGATGATTTACATAACAATCATGCTTTGCACACTTATTATATTGTTAATAGGTCAAATGCAGTACTTCACTTACACTCAAAACCCATTAGAGAACTAACCACAATTTATGGTTCATAACCAACTGTCATTATTTGTAATTTTTAACTAGTTAACTTTTAATAGTGAGCCTATATAGCACATCATTAGATTTAAAAAAAATCTAGAACCTATCATGTTCTGCCCAACCACAGATGAAGATATGGTATAAATATTTTCAGGAGCCCAACTCCTGAGAATCTTTTTCTTTTTTTTTAATTTATTCATTTTCTACATTAATTCACAATACACCATCACAACACACAAATGAATTTTCCATCCAAAATACACTGTGCATTGGCTCAATCAAGCACATCAACATACATGTTCTCAGCAAATAATTTTCCAATTCTTATGTCCTGCATACCTTGCCTTTTGTTTTGCCATCCTTGATTCCCCATCTCCCACCCTCTGCTATGTCCCATCTTCCTCCCCCATTGTCCCTGGCATCCATGGTTGCCCTC